TCAGCAAGGTGTCTGACATCAATGCTCCTTCAATGTTAACTATTACTTGCCAAAGGGCAGAAGGCTGGGAGAGCCGTTTTGCCTCTGACAGGGGAAACTAAGAGAGGCTCCGCCCAGGGAATAATGGAGCCTGTGGACTGGCGTGCAGATGAAGGCCATTCTTCCATGACAGACTGTCATCCCAAGAGAGGTAGTCACTGACATTACTAGATAAGACACCAAGGAGGAGTGGCAGAGGGCTGAGGCTGGGCTCTGAGATCAGCCAACACTTGAATTGCAGGAGAGGTAGTTAGGCGTTGGGTGACTAAGTGAGCAAGCATAACGCATGTCCGTCTCAGAAACAAGAGAGCAGATAGCAGGAGGGAGCAGCATCAGCTTCATTTCAGAGGTCAATGAGAATGGAGAAGTTGCTGGGCTTAGCAGAATTAAGATGCTAATACTTCCAACTGAATCAAGATGATGATTCTATCGATATTATGGCTGTTATTACTGCTGTGGCATACAAAGATGAGCCTGAGAGAGGTTGCCCACTGAGCAGAATAGGAGACAAGTCCACGTATTTCTGTGCAGAGGATTTGGCTGACTTTATGGGGCATAAAGTGTCGGTAGTGATTTATGAGCTCACACAGATGGTACCGTTTGTATTGGGCCTTGAAATTTGAATAGGCTTTTGATAGACGTGGGGGCGAAGGCATTCCAGGTAAAATAGATCATGTAAAGAAAAGGCTGGGAGGTGTGAAAATGCAAATTCCAGAGACTGAGAAGTGAGACTAAAATAAGGCATGTAGGCACTAACCAGTTTGGCTCAGTGGATAGTGTCGGCCTGCAGACTGAAGGGTCCCAGGTTTGATTCCGGTCAAGGGCATGTACCTTGGTTATGGGCACATCCCCAGCAAGAGGTGTGCAGGAGGCAGCTGATCGATGTTTCTCTCCCATCGATGTTTCTAGCTCTCTATCCCTCTCCCTTCCTCTCTGTAAAAAAATCAATAAATAAAATAAAATAAGGCATGTAGGACCATAAAAGCAGATCCAGGCAATATTTTAAAAGTTCATCAATACCATACCAAGGAGTTAACTTTCTAGAAAATAGTCATTAAAAGTTTTTGAAATGGGTGAGACATGATGATATCTCTACACTAGATGGAGTGCAAGAAACCTGAAAGATGGCGGGACCAGTACAGACTTGAAGATGGGTGGTGGCCTGAGGAACTGGGCAGTCAGGAGAAAGGGCAGTCTTCAGAGAGAGGGGGCTTATAAGGAGAGAAGGGGGCACACAGGCAGGTTTGAGCTGGGTGATTAGGCAGAGGTGGCACCACTCACAGGCCATAAAGTCATTAAATGACTGAGTGAGCCAGCATAATGCAGGAGGTGGCTCAAGTAGGTGTGGATGGGAGTGAGCTCTGGATAGAAGGAGTGAGGGATGGTCAATTTATAGTTGGGTCCTAGATGGCTCCTGATGCCATTACCCAAAATATTTGGATAGGAGATGTGTTTGATTTTAACTGTGGCATGGTTTAGGTTCCTGAGAGCTAAAGTCTTAAAACCAACCTCACTGAAGTATAGTTAATGTATAACAAACTGCACTCACTTGAATATAATGAATTTTTACAAATATACACACCTGTGCAGGCTCAGCTTCCTGGGCATGTAACCATGGGTCACCCAGGTGCTACTCTCAGAAGGCCTCTGTGCTTGGGTTTTAATGCTCTTGAGTTCACAATCTTGAAATTCTTATCTTTGAATTTCTGTTTTGTAATTGAAGTTCAGTGGGACAGTGGACTATGCTGGGTGGAGGAGCTTGGAGCATGAACTCCTATTGAGTCTCATCTGTCAGCCCCCACTCCTTAACCCTGACGCCCACCCATTCCACCTCCACCCCCAGCCTCAGGGTCAGGCTGGTACCCAGGTCTCAGGGCAGAGCATGCTGCCCCCCAGCACATTCAGAGAATGACATGTGAGCATCTCACTCATCAGGTTCCAGGTATCAAGTACAACCCAGCACAGAAGTTGCACTTCCCACGCTGAAACCGGTTTGGCTCAGTGGATAGAGTGTCGGCCTGCAGACTGGAAGGTCCCAGGTTAGATTCCGGTCAAGGGCATGTACCTTGGCTGCGGGCACATCCCCAGTGGGGAGTGTGCAGGAGGCAGCTGACCGATGTTTCTCTCTCATTGATGTCTCTCACTCTCTATTCCGCTCTCTTCCTCTCTGCAAAAAATCAATAAAATATATATTTTTTAAAAAAAGTTGCACTTCCTTGGAGGTCACCCATAGTGGGTGGCAGCCCATGGGTAGGGAAGGTACCTAAAAAGGGGAGTGAGTGTCCCTGTTCCCTGAGGAAATACAACATTAAATAGCAATCAATCAATCAATAAATAGTGTGATAGGTTGGTAGAGGCCGCAGAAAAAAAGGAAGGGTTTCATAATTTAGTACCTTTAGTGGCATTTTTCTCCTGCTTCCCTACATTTTCATGTTGTAATGTGCCAGGCCAGTACAGCCCTGCACTGGTATAACTACCGCTACAGTCAAGATACAGATCTTTCCATCACTCCCAAATTTTCCTCCTAACCCTCTGCAGAGTCAATCCCTCTCCCTCCACTGGATGTGCATACACACACACACACACACACAAACACACACTCGCGTGCACACACCACACACTCTGTGCCATTCCCAACCACTGCATTTTAAAACATGGAGCAGGGCTCTGGGCCTCCTCTCAGGAACTCGAGGAAAGCAGGGCCAAACAGATCCGGAGTGACCCCAAAAGGGGTGAACCCGAGAGAGCTGTGATGATCCAAAGAAATGTGGGGAGTGTGCCCCCATCCAGGGATTATGAGGGGCCAGCAGAGGAGGAAGCCAAGGCAGAGGACAGGAGAACATGCCTTATGAAGCGCGAGGGACTCATGAAAAAACTACTAGGTGAATTGAAGGTAGTTGGAATTTGGCTTTGTTGGTGAACCATTAGGGAAAGAATTATAAGAGCATAAATACTGGCACATGCACTTCCCCATGGGAAGCCAGGCCATCAACTGCAGAAGGCAAACAAAACACCTCATCCTTGGATGCAGAGCCTTTCAGGGCCCTACCCCTGCTTCCTGGTCCAGTTTTCTTTCCCTGCCTTCGTCTGCCATGCCTGTCCCTGATCTTGGCATAGACCGCTCCTGATCATCCAAATCACAGTTTAAACACAACCTCCTCAGACGATCCCAATCACCAATGTAAAATGGCACATCAATATAATACACCCAATATAATACCTTCTGTCACATCTATTATCTTTAATGTCTGCCCTGTCTTCCATTTCAATACCCCCCCCCCCCCAAAAAAAATACCCTTAAGAACAAGCACTTTGACTCATGCAGGGAAGCATTCCCAGGGCCTAGAACTCAACGGAGGATGATCAATAACTGTTGAGTAAAAAGAAGTAAGCCAGGCCCTCACCCTGTAGTTCAGTGGGTTAGAGCATCATCCCAATAAGCCAAGGTTTGGGGTTTGATCAGTTTGATTCCTGGTCAGGGCCCATACAAGAACCAACCAGCCCAGCAGTGTGGCTACATTGACCAATGAACCAGGAGGTCTCGGTTCTATGCCCGGGTTGTGGGTTCGATGCCCAGTATGGGGCATGCAGGAGACAGCCAAACAATGAGTCTCTCTCATTGATGTTTCTATCACTCTCACCTTCTCCCTTCCTCTCTGAAATCAATAAAAATATATTTATATTTATTTTTAAAAATCAACCAATGAATGCATAACTAAATGGATCAACAAATCCAAGTCCCCCCCCTTCCTCTCCTTCCTCCCTCTCTAAAACCAATCAATATTTTTAAAAGGTTAACGTCATTTAAAAAGAAGAGTGACTAGATATAGAGACAGTAAAGCAACAAGCAGATTGTCAAATTACAGCGGGGAGGGGAGGAGGGTCTGGGGGAGATAATAAATCAACCCAAGGACTTGTATACATGCATATAAGTACAACCAATGGACATAAAACTCTGGGGAGGGAGGGGATATGTGGGAGGGAAGGAGGAGGGCAAAAAAATCAATAAAATATGTAAAAATAAATAAAATAAAAAAAAATAAAAAAATAATAAATAAAAAGAAGAGTGAAGGCACTGCTCCCAAACTGTAGCCTTCCCCTCAGAGAGGAGGATGAACTCCAGAGGGTGGAAGCGGATTGCATCTCCTCTACCCCTTCTTGCCTAAACCCACGCAGATTATAAGAACTTTCAGGCTCTTACTCATCGGGGGCCTATATCAGGTTCTTTCACAAACATTTCCCCACGCTCTTCTCACTTCACCTCTCAGCAGCTTTCTCTCACTTCCCAGGAGGTCGTGGGGTCTCCTGGGACTTTTCCAAGGTCGGCCAGTTGAGTGGGCCAGGCTCAGACTCACTCCCGAGTGGGCCCACTCCGACACCAGTGCCATCGACACCCAGCACGCCCTTGGCGGTTCGGAGCTTGGGCCAGCCGCCCAGGGCCAGCCGCCCCACGCCGGGCCGGGGTCTGGTCGCCACAGCGCGAGTACAATGGGCCCTGCCAGGCCGTCTGGCCCGCAGGGCACAGGGTTTCGATCAAAGGAAGGCGGCGCGGGTTCCAGGACGCGCGCTGGGCTGGACACTTGAACGCAGACTTCGGTATCCTGGCAACGAGTAAACAATCGCGGGCCCGCCCCGCAGCGCCCCCTGGCGTTTGTTCTCCGGCCGCCGGCGGCCGCCGCGTGTCCCTCCCGCTCGCTGCTCGCTGAAGCCCGCGGTCTGCAGCCCGTGACCTCGGCGCCTCCCGAGGCGGTGCTCGTGGCTCGCAGCCCACAAAGCACGGCGGGGCAGCCGGGTTAGGGGCCTGGGCAGGTCCCGGAGGGCGAAGGAGAAAGCCGGGTGCGCGGCAGGAATGGGCGCGGGGACGCCTCCCCTAGGTGGCACGGAACGCTGGGGGCGCTCTCTTCGTTTCAGGATTGGGGATACATGCCACACTCACCTGCTCAACTGAGAAAGGAGAAACCATGGTAACACGCGCCTTTTATTAAGAATAAGAGGTCCCGAGGCTCTCGCCAAATGAGTTTCACACCGTCTGTCCGCCTTGTAGTCAGCCTTTAGAGAGATCTGTCTGTCCCGCCGCGAGGCTGGACACCCCTCGCGTTGGGGCGGTGTCCAGCCCAGGGATCTGAATGAACTTGGGGTGAAGGGGGGCGGGGTCCCCAGGGAGAGAGAGGACTGCAGCATCCGAACCAGGCCGAGCCCGCTCCGAGTTGGTTGGTTTTCATTTCTTCGTTCTGTTGAGCCACTTATTGCACCCGGAAGATGGGTTATGTGACAAAGAGAGGCTGGCCACGGGGTGCGGAACCCCTCGTCGCCAGCAGGGACTGGCCAGGCACTTAGCTGCCGCTGCCCTGGTCCTGTGCGGGGTCCTTATCTGTGGACTTTAAAAATGAGCCCAGCCTGAGCCAGTGCAGCTCAGTGTTCTGCCTTGACCCACGCACCAGGAGGTCGCAGGTTGGATTGGCCCTCAGGACACATGCCCGGCTGGTGACTCAATCTCCAGCAGGGGGCATGCAGGAGGCAGCGGGTTGATGTCTTTCTCATTGATGTTTCTATCTCTCCCTTTCCCTTCCCTTAATAAAATCAATAAGAATATATTTTAATTAATTAATTAGATAATTAATTAATAAAAAATGAGCCCAGGTGCAGCCTGCACTGCTGGCTAATTTTAAGGAATTCCAGTTTAAGGAAAGGCTTTGGAGGAGACGTTTTATGTAAGATATTTTTGCATTTTTAAAAAATATATTTTACTTTTTTTTTTTTTTTTTACAGAGAGGGAGGGAGAGGGATAGAGAGTTAGAAACATTGATCAGCTGCCTCTTGCACACCCCTTACTGGGGATATGCTTGCAACCAACGTACATGCCCTTGACCAGAATCGAACCCGGAACCTTTCAGTCACTGAGCCGAACCAGTTAGGGCAAATATTTTTCATGTTATGCCCAGGAAAACTTGCAACATCCTTCATCCCACTTCATGTCATTGGCTCACACGTTAAACCTCAAACTTCAAACCTCCATTTCAACCTCCTACTGGATCTCGCCCCCAGAGAGCCTTTTCAAATTGCGTTAAAAATCCAGCTCTTTTAAACACTGCCTTCTCTGGCCTCATTGGCTCGTTCCAATAGCATGGTCATCCTCTGGCCACAAACACAAGCATTCCTACTCCTCAGCCTTCATCCGCTCTCCTGCAGCCTGCTTCCCATCCTGACCGCCACTGGTTGTCTGCCCTCTTTGCCACCTGCCGGGATTCTGGCAGCAGCCTATGCCAGGCTCACCCAGGGGTTCTCCATCTCCTTTGTCCTCGCTCTTCTGAGCTGGTTTCCATATTAGACCAGTAACCCAGGCCGATGTGTGTCCACCCAGAGACAGGCCCTGAGGGAGGCAGCCAGAGGTCTGGGGTCCCGCCCTTGGGTTGTGGGCTCGAGCCCAGTGTGGGACATGCAGGAGGTAGCCAATCAATGATTCTCTCTCATTGATGATGTTTCTATCATTCTCTCCCTCTCCCTTCCCCTCTGAAATCAATAAAGAAATACTAAAAAAATAAAATGTATTAGTTGACCCAAAAAAGATTTAAAAAGAAATATCTTAACAGTTTATTTTTTAAAAGAAGAACATTGATTTGTATATCTTTTATTATTTTTTCTTCTTTATATATTTTTATTGATGTCAGAGAGAAGAAGGGAGAGGGAGAGAGAGAAACATCAATGATGAGAGAGAATCATTGATTGGCTGCCTCCTGCATGCTCCATACTAGGGATTAAGCCTGCAACCGAGGTAGGTGCCCTTGACCAGAATTGAACCCGCAACCCTTCTGCAGGCCAACATTCTATCCACTGAGCCAAACCAGCTAGAGGCAACAATTTATTATTTTTTTAAATATGTTTTTATTGATTTTTAAAGAGAGGAAGGGAGAGGAAGAGGGAGATAGAAAATTCATGTGAGAAACATCAATCGACTGCTTCCCGCCCCTACTAGGGATCCAGCCTGAAACCTGGGTATGTACCCTGACTGGAATCGAACCGATGACCTCTTGGTGTATGGGACGATGCTCAGTCCACTGAGCCACACTGGCAGAGCTGAAGAATTAACAAAAATAAAAGTTTGTTCTTTTACAGTTGTGCTTTCCATGTCATATCAAAGAAATCTTTGCCTAACCCAAGATCACAAAGGTTTTCTCCTCTATTTTCTTCCAGAGGTTTTTTAGTTTCTGTTTTTTATTTAGCTCTATGAGCCCTTTTGAGTTAACTTGGTGCAAGTATGGATTGAGGTTCATTTTTTTTTTTTTCAAAGTGATATCTATTGTTCCATCTACATTCACTAGAAAGTTACCCTCGCTCCACTGAATTGCTTTGGCACTTTTGTTGAAAATCAGTTGATCCTATATGTGTGGGTCTACTTCCGGGCTCCATTCTGTCCCACTGATCTCTTTGCCTCTTCACACCAATACCGTACTGTCTGGATACTGTAGCTTTATAACAATTCTTGAAATAAAGTATGAGCCCTTTAACTTTGATCTTCTATTTCAAAGTCCTTCGAATTTCCATATGAATTTTAGATCGACTCTCAGCCACTGAGCCATGTGGGCCAGGAAGGGAATTTTAGAATCTCCCACAAAAAGATGAGAACTCTGAATAAAAGCATCGGCCCTCTATCTTATGTCCTTTGAGTTTCCATATGAATTTTAGAATCAGTTTGCCAATTTCTACAAGATGAAAACTGTGAATAAAAATGCCAAACTTTTGTGTGAATTTTAGTTCTCAAACCTTTTTAGATATCAAAATGCATTTTTATTTTTTTTTTTGCAGTGATTCCAGGTATGTCAAGTATGGTTGACATGCAAGAGAAGTATAAAGTCATTGCAAAAAGCCCAGTTCCCAAATCTTTAAGAGCTTTTGGGCATACATTCATCCCCAGGGGCAGATTTTATCAGGAGGTGCAATTATCTTCCGGTTTTCAGATTGTTTCTTTCCGTTTGGATTTCATCACACGAGGCAGGCCTTTGTGTTACAAGATGCTTCTCATCTTTATTTCTGGGTTTTGTGTTTAGGAATGCACTCTATTTCACCTAACAAAAGTATGTTTTAGTGTTTTTTTAACACATCAACTATATCTCTCCTTGTTTAGCTCGGGACATTTTTAAGATGCCATGCTCTGAACAGAGCATCTATTTTACCCGGATATTTAGCCCTTGCAGGTGTCCTTAATGTATACATTCCTCTGCTTCCCCTTGCCCAGAACAGACACTTTGTACATAATGCACTTCCAGCTGTTGTTTTCTGGGTGGAGGGTCACAGGATGTAGAGAAGTCGCCTCAGCTCCGCGCAGCTCCCGCAGAACTCCGGCATTGTCTACTCCCAGGTTCCCGTAGTAACCTTCCTTTTCCAGCGCACATTGGCCTGGCAGTGCCATTGTGTCAAAAACACAGGCACTGAGCCCGGTGGATGTCGATTTGCCATGATCTTGCTGAGCTGAATAATACCCTGGAGTGAGGATTTAAAAAAAAAAAAAAAAGCAAATCTCACCCTGCCAGTACCGCTCAGTGGTTGAGTGTCAACCTATGAACCAGGAGGTCACAGTTTGATTCCAGGCCAGGGCACATGCCCAGGGGACGTGGGCTCAGTCCCCAGCGTTGGGTGTGCAGGAGGCGGCTGGTCAATGATTCTCTCTCGTCATTGGTGATTCTCTCTCTCCCTCTCCCTTCCTCTCTGAAATCAATAAAAATAATTTTTTAAATAAAATAAAGCAAACCTTAGGCCTCCTTTTATTTCATGCCTACTGGTTTTCATGTGCCCCTCTGAAGTGTGTAAACATTTTTTTCATGACCCAGTGCCAATATCAGACCTAATAGAATTAATAATTTTTCAATATTATCAAATTTCCCAAGTTTGTTCCAAAAAAAAATGCTCATAAGAGTCTCGGCTGGGTAGCTCAGTTGGTTAAAGGGTTCTAATAAGTCATGGTTACAGGTTCCATCTCCCGTTAGGGCACATAAAGAAGTAACCAAATGAATGCACAAATGAGTGGAACAACAAATAGGTCTCTCTCTCTCTCTCTCTCTCTCTCTCTCTCTCTCTCTCTCTCTCTCTCTCAAAAATAAAAATAAAAATAATAGAATGGCAACAAGATCCCCACATGCATTAGGCTGGGATTTGCCCCGGCCTTTTCCTCGCTTCCCCTTCCCCCACGCCATGCACCACTTTTGGTTCTTACCATTTTTCCTTTTAGGAATGTATTTTTTCTCACGTTCCATAGGCTATGTTGAACGTTATGTCAAGGTGATGAGAACTAACGTTGCCCCGTATGTCTCCTTGTCTTTGAAGCCAGGGAAAGGGAAGCGAGGAAAAGGCCGGGGCAAGTCCCGCGGGAAGAAGCAGAAGAAGCAGGAGGTGGACATCCTCAACCCCGCGGCGATGCTGAACCTCTACTACATCGCGCACCACGCGGCCGACTGCCTGCACATGCGGGGCTTCCGCTGGCCGGGCGACCCCAAGGCGAAGAAAGGGAAAAGCAAGACGTAGGGGAGAGCGTTCCGCGGCCTCCTCTCCCTCACAGAGCAGGAGCGGGAGAGGAGGAGGCAGGCTACACAGCCATTGCAAGCAGCGTGGACCTGCTAACGGCGCTGGAGAGGCAGCTTTCTGCGGAGGGAGTGGTACAGCGTGCGCTTCACTTCCCCCGCTCAACCCGGGTATGGCTAGCCAGTCTGGTTCTTCAGAAGTTCGGGGGGCAAGACTGAGTAGGACTTAAACAAGCCACTACAACCCTGGATCCGAATTAAACCTTGCTCTCAAAAGGCAGTTCTCACTCGCGTGCGTTTTCTTTCGACAACGCGGCTTTGTCGTTTAGAGAAGACGGTGAAAAGCCCAGAATCTGCCGAAACCGGTTTGGCTCAGTGGTAGAGCGTCGGTCTGCGGACTGAAGGGTCCCGGGTTCGATTCCAGTCAGGGGCATGTGCCTTGGTTGCGGGCACATCCCCGGTGGGAGGTGTGCAGGAGGCAGCTGATCGATGTTTCTTTCTCATCGACGTTTCTAGCTCTCTATCCCTCTCTCCTCCTCTCTGTGAAAATCAATAAAAGAAAAAAATACAAAAATTTAAAAAAGAAAAGCCCAGGATCTGCTCCAGAGCATGCTGCTTGTGGGCACTGTTTCCTGTCCCTGGCTTTTTCGGGAGAAATGATACGTATTTTTTTATTATTATTATTATTAATTTTTATTTTTTTTTTTACAAAGAGGAAGAGGGTCAGAGAGTCAGAAACATCGATGAAAGAGAAACATCGATCAGCTGCCTCCTGCACACTCCCCAATGGGGATGTGCCTGCAACCAACATGCCCTTGCCCGGAATTGAACCCAGGACCTTTCAGTCTGCAGGCCGACGCTCTATCCACTGAGCCAAACCGGTTTCGGCCGTTGTTTTTTAATGTTCTTCTCAGCAGTCTCACTCTTGCCTGATTCACTGAGACAGTCACGCCTGCTCTGGCCAGGGCAGGGCATAAACAGCCTCAGAGGCACCCGCAGCCTGGCCCTCTGTGCTGCATCACCGACTCCTCTGCTCTTTTCCTGCTCGCTTCCATCTTCCGGCCACTCTGCAGGCTCTCTGTCACACTCCGCTGCCCGGGGTGACGGAACTGGTGCCAGGAATTTGCCATGGCATCCTATGGATGCTATAGGATCTCCCGAGTCTGGGCAGAGACACGGAGGAGATAAAGCTCTAGTTCTTCCTCCTCGAAGATCTAAAAGCCCCAAAGGTGAAACTAGGAAGGGAAGGCACGTTGAAGTGTAAGCAGCCTCTCTGAACCACCCAGCACCCACCCTGCCCCCTGCTCTGCCTCCCCCGTGCGGACACCTGCACTCTGTCCCCCCTCACAGCTCCGGTTCCCCGAAGCGTCACCTGTGCAGGCGGGACCTAAGCTGAGTTACTAACACGGTGGGTGCTGCAGGTTATCCGGTGCGGGTCTCAGATTCACGGCTAACGCAGGCCGCAGCCCAGGATTCGGGATTTCCTACGGATCCGAGAAGAAGGGAAACCACAGGGGTCTTTGTACCAGGGAAGTGGGGGCTCACACCCACGTGAGTGAGTTGGGGTGACATTGGTGTGGCTGCACCGTCTGTGCAGACCCAGGGTGTGCCCTGGGCTGGCTGCCGGAGGTGCCCTTGCTCCTGAAGGGGGTGCTTTCTGCCCTCTGCCCGCGGGCTCTGGGGATGGGAGCACCTTCCACACGTCTAGCGCCTGCTGGGCCGTGTCTCGTGGTGTCTGTCTGTGAACACACTTGTTCAGAATGTGCACCTCGTCACAAGGGGCGGCGGGGGAGGGGGGGGATGGCGGGAATTGCCAAAGAGCTCATTGCAGCCCCCCCACCTGCCCCCGCAGGAAGGTTCTGCAGCATCTGGAGCACCTCATCTGTATCGAATTCCAACCTCATCACCATTCTTTTAAAAAAAAAAAATGTATTTTATTGTTTTTTTACAAAGAGGAAGGGAGAGGGATAGAGAGTTAGAAACATTGCCGAGAGAAACATCAATCAGCTGCCTCCTGCACACCCCCTACTGGGGATGTGTCCGCAGCCAAGGTACATGCCCCTGATTGGAATCGAACCTGGGACCCTTGAGTCCGCATGCCAACGCTCTATCCACTGAACTAAACTGGTTTCATCCCCATCACCATTCTTACCCTCCCTCTCTGGACGTCACCTTCAGCAGGTGACCTGATCTCCCTTTTAGGGGAAAGTGTCCCTACCCCACTCGTTTCTGAGTCTCGCTCCTCCTCTGTAAGGGCACAGGAAGAGTTCAAAAAGAACCAGTTTCAGCCCTAGCTGGTTTGGCTCAGTAGATAGAGCTTCGACCTGCAGACAGAAGGGTCCCGGGTTTGATTCCAGTCAAGGGCACATGCCTGGGTTTCGGGCTCGATTCCCAGTAGGGGGCGTGCAGGAGGCAGCCGATCAATGATTCTCTCTCATCATTGATGTTTCTATCTCCCTCTCCTTCTCCCCTCCTCTCTGAAATCAATAAAAAAAAATTCTTTTAAATATTCAAAACAGAACGAGTTTTGAAGTCTCCTCTCTGTGGAAGGTTCTTCCTTAGTCCAGTCCCCCAGCCCTAAAGGCTCCCAGGGGGCATTTCACCACAGTGACCATCCCTGACCCGGCACCTTCATTCCTCCAGCCCCGTGGGGTGACCACCAAGGCATTTAACCCCGGGACCGTACTCAGCGATGCGGCCGCTCTGCAAGCACAGACACAGCACAAAGCTGCCCGGCCCTCCTGCCCCGGGGAAAGTGAGGCCATACCCAAGGAAGCAGAGAAACCATTAGTGGAACTTTAAGAGCTGATGGTTGAATAATCTTTCTATTTTACATTTGAAAATTAATTTATTATAAACATTCCCAGACTCACAGGAGCAGAAAGGAGTCCACAAACCCCCAGCTCGGACACCCTCTCACATTTAGTCTTATTCATCTACGTCCCCCTGCGTCTCTCCGGAGCAGATGGAAGCAAATCACGCACCTGCCATTCTTTCCCGGGACACCTCCGTTTCCTACCATCCCAAACAGGTAAGTTTACCCTCGAACCCTCCCCTATATGGGGGCATGTTCATATCACCATGTAGGAAAAAGCCCAAGAGTGCACCTAATATGTCAAAATGTTGTCAGAGCGGCTCTCCAGACTTTCAAGCTCACTCTCTGTGCCAGCTGCTTCCTGCAGCCTGGAAAAGGGAGGCGCTTTCTCTGCTTAAAAAGCGTGGGCAGGGCTGGCTGAAGTCTGGGGGCAAGTTTGAAAGGAGATGTGTGGGACAGTAAGAATGGCACACTCATTCATTCATTCATTGGATATTTATCGAGGGCCTGTTTTGTGCCAGACACTGGGGTGACAGCAATGAGGCCAACAGTTTTGAATTGGAGAGTAGGCATAGAGGGTGTAGTCTCTAGTGATAAGATAATATATACTAGCCGCTGTCCAACAGAACTTTCTGAGATGATGGAAATGTTCTGTATTTGTGCAGCCCAACATGATAGCCACAAAGCACATGTGACCAGTGAAGCCTGAAGGGCTGGGATATTTTATTTGGTTTAATTGCAATCCATTTAAGTTTAAATAGCCACACGTAGCTAGTGGCTGTTGTTTGGGACTGCACAGCACCATGGAGGGAGCGAGCCCAGCTGGGATGGGGAGAGGGCAGGTAGGTGTGACCGAGATAGTGGTGCTGAAGAGCTTTAGACATCGGACGCATTCCATGGGCTGTGAAGCCCTAGTGACTTTGTATTCTTTTTCCTAAAAAAAAAAATAGATTTTATTGATTTTTTTTCACAGAGAGGAAGAGAGAGGGATAGAGAGTTAGAAACATCGATGAGAGAGAAACACTGATCAGCTACCTCCTGCACATTCCCCACTGGGGATGTGCTCGCAGCCAAGGTACATGCCCTCGACTGGAATCGGACCTGGGACTCTTGAGTGCACAGCCTGACGCTCTATCCACTGAGCCAAACCGGTTTCAGTGTGACTGTATTCTTGCTGTTGTTTTCTTAAAGAGGATGCCAAAGAGTTGGGCCCTACAAAAGCTGGACCTGCCCCGGGAAGGCACTAACTAGGACTCATTTAGGCAGGGGGCAGAGCATGTGCTGCCAAAGGGAATGGCAGGGGGCAGAGCATGTGCTGCCAAAGGGAATGGCAGGGGGCAGAGCATGTGCTGCCAAAGGGAATGGCAGGGGGCAGAGCATGTGCTGCCAAAGGGAATGGCAGGGGGCAGAGCATGTGCTGTCAAAGGGAATGACAGGGGGCAGAGCATGTGCTGTCAAAGGGAATGACAGGGGGCAGAGCATGTGCTGCCAAAGGGAATGGCAGGGGGCAGAGCATGTGCAGTCAAAGGGAATGGCAGGGGGCAGAGCATGTGCAGTCAAAGGGAATGACCAGGATCCAGGTGCCAGAGAGCCCAGCAGCCCAGCAGCCCCAGCGGCGGCGAGAACCCTTCACGCCAGTGCCACTAGTGAGGCGCCGATCCTGCCAGCTGCTGACTCGGCCTCCTTCTGTGCCAGTTCTCTCCGCTCCTGAGTCCTGCCTACCCCAGGTTTCTGCTTTTCCACAGCTGCAGCTTGTCGTGACCCCTGTGACTCCTCCCTGCGTTTCCTTCGAGTGTCTGCTTCTTACGGCCTTGTTCTCTGGCCTGTACAGGAGAGAGGATCTGATACAGCTGCCTTGTCTGACCCTGGAGCAGGCTCTGTGGTGGCAGCCAGTGGGTGAGCTGGCGGGGTCAGGGGTCTCCTGCTGGTCTGGACAGCTATACCTGAGGCGCGGTACAGGTATGACTGGCCAGGAATTGTGATTCTTCATGGGGACAGGGGTGGTAGCGTGTTTGACACGATGCTTTCTTTCTCTGTCGCTGTTATTTCTCCCTTTATAAGCAAGATCCTGGAAAGAATGTGCTTATATGTTCTTCTTCACTTCCTCATCTTTCTGTCACACAAATTTTTCCTGTCACTTTTTTTCATACCTACTTTGCATTTAAAATTTCAAGCCCACATAGAAGTTG